GGCCCTGCATTATTTTATTTTATTTATTTTATTTTTTTATGTTTACCTACGTGACTTTACCGAAAGAACCAACGAGTATGGATCCTTGCAGTCACGAAAACTTCAAATCTAGAATAAAGGGCCCTGCATTGTGGAATGTCTGACCAATTTCAAGAATACCCAGCCACCTTTAGAAACAAAAAAACGCATTTGTGGTAAAAAGGCATTGCTGCTGTGATGTAATTGGTGACACATTCCAGAGGTTACCGGTTTCCTCTCCCAGGCACAGCAATTGCAACGATGGTGCAACGTTCTTAAACCCCCTCATCTCTCTCAACCCGACAACAACGTGCACGGGCACATTACGGAGCCATGTTTGTCTAAACAGTTCTTTTTTTTTTACAAGAATTCTGGCAAGCATGGAAGAGTAGGCCAAAAGCAGCCCCTCGAGGCGGGTTCTCTAGTGCCACCTTGAGTGGAGGTCCTTCCGCCAAAGGCAATCGCAGAGGCTTGCACGTTTGAAAACGAGACCCCCGAGTCTCAACGGACTCTTACCTGGTTATAAATTAAAGGTCACCTATCTTACACTCGGCCAGAGCACATTCATTTACATTGGCCGCATTGTCTAATGCTGGCGAGTCGCCGCGCCCTCGGGTGCCCCTACTGCCGGTTGATGTATTGGTCGGCACAGCGAGCAAGTGCAGTACAGCAAGCCCCGTATGTAGAGGACACCTCTGGGGGGGTGGGGGTGGGGGAGGTGTTCGAAATAATGACCCGAAGGGCGCAATAATTGGGTGCCTTGTAAGCCGCGTTTGCACGTGTGTGTGTAGCGGGAGGGGGCCCGTTTCAAGGGCACATTCCAGGGCTCCGTGGCACATGTCAGGCCAAAGGGGGAATTGCCAGGAGCGCAGGAAGGGCTCCCGGTCCTAGGCCATTGCATGAACTTCATATTCCAATGGAATCATTAATGCTTAATGAGGTATGGTTATATATTCATCGCGCGGTCTGTAACCCCGAGGAAACGAGAGCACGTGCGTCTCACCCCGAGAGCCAAAGGGCTCCCTCGAGAAGAAGCCACAATACAATAATGCACTGGTGGGAAACCACGGACGTTAGGTAGGCGAATGAAACACGTGCAACCTGGGTGGTGTTTATTGATTTATAAAAGTCTGTCATTGTAACGGGGCATGCAAATAATTTTGCATCTCCCCCCGGGGGAGGGGGGAGGGGGGGTGTTTCCACGGAAGGGGAGAGCTTGGGAGCCAGGGCATGTTTATTCACCTTGCACCCACTTATGTTGTAGCGGTCATTTGTGCACGAGTGCTGTTACCAAAAAAAAAAACTATCCCTATTTACGACTGTATGCATTTTGCCCCATCCAGGGAGGATGTTTCGTTTGCTTGCTCACTCCACTGCTGGTGGAAAGAACTCGATTGGAAGTTGTTGTCCAAGAGAGCACCTCGAGTGGCTGTGTTGGGCTACTCTTCCACGTTGGCCAGACGTCTTTCTTTCCCACACTTTACCCCAACGCATATAACCTGCCATTTGGCCTGAATGTGGTGTACCAATTTATTATTACTGGGTGGACAGAGGCGAGGGAGGGAGGGGATCGTTAAATAAATCTGCCCCTTAGTTTCAGCTGCCACACCAGCAGATCGAACCGGTGACCTCCGGAGTACAAGTCTGGTGTGCGAACCGTTACACCGCTAGCTAATTACGTTCATATTAATATCTGAGAGAGTGATCCGCATCCTCAACGAACAGAAGCAAAATAACAAATGGTCATAGGATACAAATGTCCTCTTGTGTGGGCGTTTGGCCACGGTGGCGAAATGTTAACTAGCTCGCCTGGTGTGCAAGAGGTCGTGGGTGCGATCCCGACCCTGACGCCTATTGTATGTCTCTCTCCCCGGGGTCGTGTGGATTTTTCTCCAGGTTCTCCTGTTTTTTTTTTCTCTCCACAATTAGAATCAACATGCTTTTAGAGTATTTGGCTGCTTTAAATGTCCACATGATAAGCCACTTAATTGGGCTATCATTTGTGGCCAGGTCGCTTCTAGCTCAGCGGGCCTTACCTGGTAAAATAAAACATAGTTTTTAGATTATAATTTTTTATTAGACATTCAAATTAAACTCCACTGTGCATATTCTCCATCAGCTCTCGATCCTCACACTGACGCACGCTTGCGTGCAGGGATGACGCGCTAAATAATTTACGCCTCATCAGTATTCCAGTGATGATATGCAGTTGGTACATATTCCCAGCTGAGATCTGCATTCACTACCGCCGAGCAAGGAAGCAGGCGCTTACAAGGCCGCCGCTTGTAAAGCCATTAGGAGTGTCGCCAAGGAAAAGGTCAACAGATTCGTGACATCACGTCTACATTGTTAGGAGCACAACCTATGGTGCCCTGTGCTACCTCTGCCCTGATGAATATGTGCCGAGTTATCGCGCACAGCGCGTAAGTGTCAGCGGCGAGGAATCACGCTCGGGATTTGTTTTAATAATTTGCATTTACGAAAAATCGTTTGCACCTGGCGTGAGCTGTGAGAAAATATCACGAGACAGTACGGCCGACAAGACAAACGTTGTGTCGCCGAGGGTTTAAGCAGGAGATTTGGCATCCTAAGTCTTCTCATCGTTCCCCGTTCCTTCTCTCCACCGCTTCTCATTGTGGCCTCAGTTCACGACGAGGTTCTTCACGAGATTCATTCGGCTGTATCGGACGCGGTGACCTCCATTGCACCCTGGTTCCATTTGTCTACGTTTGCTCGGTTGACGATATCAATAAAAAATAATAAAAAACCAGATGGATTATTAAAACCTCAGTGCAGAGATATGGTCTAGTGAGTGCAAACAATTAATTTAAAATCATCGTCGTGATTTGCTGCCCAAACGAGCGTTGAGGCAGTGCTCTCATTCCCGTTTACAACGCCGAGTCGATGGTGACAATTCCACGTTAACATTGGCGGGGTCGAGTCTATTCATAGGGCAACCACTGATGATTTCCCCACAATGGGGTATTCACTTTATAGACCCCCAGGGGGGATGATGGGCTGACTCAAACCCCAACCGAGGTTTTGAACTCGCAAAGCTTCCAGATTGCGAGCCACTTGCTCCACGTACAATAACGGCACGCAGCGCATCTGATGTACACACACCACAGTGACAAACAATTATCCCCACATTCTACAGCCGAAAGTGAAACGTTTCATGGGCGAGCATTACAATGGAATCCTCTGAGCTTCGAGTTTCATGCAATCCTCGAAGATATTTTTAAATCCAACAAGGTAAAAAAAATTGCAAAGATATACCATTTTTTTGGTTATTTATGATGTGATAAATCTTTTGGGATGAGGTTTTTAACACTGGAAAGGAGCTGCGCTGTAACATTTCCTGGCTCAATTCCCCACGTGTTTGGAGTGTCATTCGAAATGTATTTTCAGCGCCTTTATAATACAAAGTGAACGGCTTACAACCTTAAGCATACCACTCTTCCCACAGGCTTTGCCTTGCGATGATTCCACGAGGAATGCATTTTAAACGCGTACTCAAGTTTTTTTATTTTTTCTGCACGCATTCGCAAATTCAATTGAAAAAGATCTCTCCGACGACAAAATTCGCTGGCCCCTGCTCCGCCGCTATCTCGGTAAAGTCCTCCTGCCCGATACAGAAGTCAACGCTGAAAGGGAAATGTCGCTTCGTGTTACCATCGCGATGCGAATGCTCTACGAATGTTCATGCGCATGTCTCTTTGTACGTTGCATCGATGGTGCAACACATTATCAGTGAGGGGTTTATTTATTTTTCAACTTCAACACATCATCAGTGAGGGGTTTATTTTTTTTTTTCAGAGCGACGGAAAATAATGCTCCCATTCATTAACCGTACGTGAAATGAGGGGCATTTCTTAAGGGCACATGATTAAAATGCACATTAATAATGCCGGCCAAAAAAAACCGACGTGTAAGTAAGAACAACAGCGATATTAAATGTGAAAGTGCGCCCATGCCCAGCAGTATCCATAGGCTCTCAAGGCGGCATTAATGCCACTGTTAACATTCTCCACAATGACGATAATTGACGATAAAAAGGGTCCTCGCCTATAAACATAAGGGTATCTCATGAGCATTGGTTCAGGTAAGCCTGACAGCTGATGAGACACCGAATACCAAACACTGGCCCGGAGTTTGCTTGCATCGAGTCAATGATGCTGACATGATGCGAACTCTCACGAGACTGTGTGGCCGTTGGGGTTGTGCGAAAGAGAAAAAAAAAAAAGAAAATTATATTAACAGTTCGTGTGGAGAGACAAATACGGGGAAAAAACCATGATTTATTTTGCTTTTAAAAAAGCTGCAACGTTGACGCTTAATTGTAATTCGTTTTTGGATTACGCATCACGATGTGAAGCTCGTTCGCCGCAAAATGTCCTTTTCTCCACTCCTACAACCGTTGGCGGCTTCCCACTGAGCGGTGCTGGCAACGGAGATGACGAGAGCCCAACTTCCAGCTGTGTTCAGTGGTCGATGGGCAAAAGGATGAGGAACTCTTTGTGAAAGTTACGGCTTAAAGGGGCGCTGGAGTCGGGCTGTGGTAGCCCTGGTATTCTACTCGCTATACATGAAGGCAGACGCACCTCTCAGAGTCCAGTGGCACCAGGCATGTGGTTTAAGGTGCACACCGCTGCTCCACCCAAGGTGGCATCAATTTGCAAGGCGGCAATATCTTTTACCGACCCCGCAAGAGATGAACGGGCTAAGCTGATCTTGTTGGCTAGGATTTTAACTCCCAATATTTATGGGCCCTAAGCTCCGAGCAATACCCCGGCCCGATAGAATCTGCACGGACAAACAGCCGGTGTCCCCAAATCTTCAAACGAGCGCCGGGCAGCGCCCGTGTGCCCCCCCCCGCCGGGGATGCTCCGAGCCAACGCTCGAGATTCCCCGGCTAATAATTCACCGCCGCCCGGAGAGATGTCCCGCTCCTAATTGCCACCTGGACCCCCTCTCGCCGGCAGGTGAACGGGAAGGACCTGTCTCGCATTAGCCATGAGGAGGCGGTGGAGGCCCTGCGCTCGGCCCGAGAGCCGATCACCATGCAGGTGCGGCGGAAGGCCCCCCTGCGACCCCGAGCCCACGGGGGGTCACAGGCCGCGGTCGGTGGAACGCCAACTGCGACGACGGCGGCGGCGGCGGTGGCGGCGGCGGCGGTCGGGACGACGGCTCCCTCGCCGCGAGCGGACGCCGCCACGCAGACCGAGTGCCCCCCGGTCCCAGAGGGCGGCAAGCCGAGGGAGCAAGCCACGGCCGCCGTGGCAACGGAGACCGCGCCGACCGTCCCCGCGGTGACGCCGGGACCGCGAGCCGCGCAGCCGCCCGACAGGTGAGTGGCTGCGCAGCAGCGGCCGCTGCTCCGGCCCCCGCCACCGGTTGAGTTGCTTTGGTCGGGATGAAAAATGACGAGAGTGGGGTGGGGGTGGGGGGGGGGAGGTGGGGGGTAGGGGGGGTGGGGGGGGGGGTCATCTCTCGCTTGTAAGAGTAACCAGGGTGGCCCAAAAGGATGATTAAAGCACGGCGAGCAATGAAGCACATCTAAATGAGAGGGAAAGTTGACCGCATTGTGGGGGAAATTGAAATTACTGCGTGAGTCAATGACGAAGGAACGGCATTCCCGCAAGTCGGCTCGGACACATTTTCTCAAACTCTTCAGAGTACGATTATGTTCGTGAAACAATAAGCAGATTTAGGAAGATTACGGCACCAGTATATGAACCCTGGGCGGCAGGGTGGCGCTAGTGGTGCCTCACAGCAACAAGAACCTGGCTTTTATTTCCAACTCGGGTGCATTTCTGTGTGGAGTTTGAATGGTCTCCTCCTGTACTGCGTGGGTCTCCAGTTTGCTCTCATAGCTGTGATAAAAAAAATAACAACATGTAACTGGTATTGGCAAAAACATCTCAAAGCTGCAAATATCACTTGCAAATTATTAAATGGGGATAACACACAGTAGCAAGCCTCATTGAGACTCAATGAGACTTTCCTAGGTAAACAAGCATCACAACAAAATTATGCTACAGCCATTTTAGAATCTCTCAGGAATTATTGTATTCCACTTGGGCTACCGGAGGTGTGAGGAAAAAATAAATGTATCGCCGCAATGCTCACACTCGGGGAATTGCCTCGGATAGAAATGTCAAGGACGGTTTTTTTCAAAGGTCCCTTCTGTAAGCCTGTCCTTACCCAATTATCTTTCTTCTTGCGGATGGCTGTGTTGAAATAGCAACGATCATAAATCTAAATCGAGGTTTTAGGCACGTCATAGATTTGCTTTTGGTGACACAAAGTGAGGACGTTCCATTCCTCCATCGAAAGATCGAAGGGGAAATTTGTCGATGATGTGTTCTGACTCAATAATACATGAAATTTTCATCAATCGTGTATTTTTTGTGAAGCAATGAGATGGCATATTACAAATTATAGGTACGTCGGAATCCATCAATTAATCGACTTAAAGTGATTGTGGGTAGAAACTGACCAATTGCAATGTATTCAAATGATATGCTAATGATGGATTAATTAGAACAAAAATGTACAGCACAAACAGGGCAGTCGAAACAAGGAATAATTTCTTAATCAAATCGTGACCCAAAATTGTGACAATTCATTCAATTACTCAGAGAAGCGGATCGTTGAATGCCTCCGACATTGAGAGAAAGCTCAGATTTGATAATTTAAATTCCCTGCGAGTTAATTTGTGACTGGACTGAGACCATCAACTCGCTGCACTCGATCGCCGAGTTGAATCGCAGGGTCTCAAGAGTATTGGCTCCCTGCGATCCCTTGCCACGTGTCTGTCATATTTGAAAAAAACAACACACGCACAAAAGTGGATTTTCATTGAGAAGTGACGATTGCCATTGAGAACGGTGGGTCATTAAAGCCATCTGCTGGGACATGTTTAGAAGGTTCGTTTGCTCAAGAGACGATGTTATACGTTAAAGACGACTCACCCAGTGATATTGTTTTACGAATTGAAATAAATACAAAATAAGGATCCATCCTGCAGTATTTTATATTATGTTTACAACAAATTGCAGATTTACACGAGAATGTTTAATCTCAATTGGCGTGAGAAGTCCTTTATCCAGCAGTGGATAGACAATGGCTGACGATTGGTAAATGATGATGACAATGATGATATAGAAACACCTTAATTGTCTAGCCTCAGCAGCTGGTGACAATCCAACGCTGCTTAACACTCTTAAGCTATGCATTAAGGGGTTAAACATCTTGAATTAATCATTAAACAATGTTTTGAATACTGATGCGCTTAACGACATGTAAATGCCTCGTGTGTGTCATCTGCTCATCTCTGCAGCCAAATCCTAGCGGAGGAGTGTAACGATGGACAGGAATACTTAACGAGCTTGCAGCAAGAGGCAGAGAGGGCGGCAGAAGTGGAATTTGAGGCAAGTGCTACGCGTCGTACGGCTGAACGGATGCCGAGTGGTGTTCGTGCATTGGTGGTTGAGATTTTTGTTTTATCAATCTCCACCGGGCAATCCTTATTCTCTATGTTATTCTCGTGCTCGGTTGCATTTTCTCTCTGTTTCTATGGCAAGTGTGCCGAGAAAATTACTTATACATTCTAAAATAACACCTGTTGGGTGGCACGGTTGTGGAACGAGCAGCTTGCAATCCAAACGCTGCAATTTAAGTTTCCTGTCGGGGAAATTAATCACCGATTGTTCCCTCTTGGGTAATTAAAGTCAGTAGCAACATTTTTTTTTAATGGAAGTTAACAGTGGTTGTCCCGTGGATAAACTTGCCCCTGCCATAGCAATTTCGAATTCCCACAACTAGCTCAGGGCTTAACAGGAAATGATTGCCATCCTATGCTCAAGCTGAGCCGGAAAATCACTTTGACTTTGACCTTGATATATGTTGAATAACGATACAAGGTACGGTATATCTAAAGCCCAACAACTTTATGTTACTCTTGGCACATCCATATTAAATGTTCACAATAATTTGCGTGATTCAAATGTCAAATATGGTCACGTTAAAGTTTGGCCCGAGGATTTTTATGGAAGCTGAATTGCAGAGGCATGAGATATATAAAGGTCAGCACAACACACAGAGCAGATTGATGCCAATGCAAGATCATGGATCTCTGCTTTTGAAGCAAATACATCTTAACAATTTTTCTGCATAGAAGAACACATTTGGGGGAGTGGTGACACAGCTGTAGGTGTGCTGTACATTGAGCTTCGTGATGTTAGGTCTGCCATTCTTAGGCAGGCCTAACATCAGTGGAAAGTAAACCTGAGTGATTGTTACGATTGCTAGCCACCGACTGTTATTCGATTCCTAGAATTGATTACATTTCCTCATTGGATCATGGGATTGGCAAATCTTGTCTGGGTATTGCATGGGGCCTGGCATTCAGGCAAGAGAAGGCCTATGGGGAATGGCAGGCCTAGTAGATTCTCCATTGAAATATATGGCTGACATTTTAATACTTGCACAAATATTTTTGTTTTTCAATTCAGGATTATTCTTGAACATTCATCACATATTTATATTCTATTATTTATAACCTTGGTAAAATGATCTCATTTGGAAATGTACTTGATTCTAAATTCTGGTCAATACCTGCCAGACAACTGTAATCAAGCCCAAAAGCAATTCGCCAATATCTAACAGCATTAACATTAATTATGCTTCCGATAGATACCCTAACCCGAAAGTTAAACCTTAATAAGCGGGGTGATATTGGTCAGGCCCAGAACACAAACTGCACTCGCGATGAAGAACAGGGGAAACCTCACTCATCTGCCCCAATGTCGTCTGCTAGAGGAGCTCGTGCACAGCTGATGATCAAAGTACTGTCATCGACCGTGCCAGGGCCTGTGCCCACACATGGTCGTTATTGGTGCGACGTGGTTGGTATGTTGGACACTGAATGACGATGACCATTGAATGCATGCATGGCCAATGCCCAGTGCATAGAATTGTCCAAATTTGACCCAGATTCTGGAATGACATTCAGACAACATTGTAAAGCTGGTGGAGGGGGCTGGAGAGCCGAGCTGAGGTTAGCCCAGGTACATCCCTTACCTACATCCGAGCATGCCTGGGATGCATTAATTAATGCCTGGCAGGATCCCAGTTAGAATAACATTCAAATGATAAGAAACGGTCATGTGGGAATAATAGCACACTGAGCTATGAACCCAAATCTGAACCCAGCAAGCCTGCACCTTAATCGTTTTACGGGCACTGAATGTTTAAAAGGGACTTCTAATGCCATTGATGCGTAAACCAACTGCTAAATTTGCAGTGCATTCAAAGCTAACACGCTTTGTGCAGTGTTGAGTTAAACTAAATATTGACCGAATAATCAATTGAAGTTTAAATGGCATAGGGTCCCACGAAGCATAACAAATGCATTCACAAATTTAGTGTCCGTGCAATTGAGTTTTGCGAGAGAGTTAAAAAAACTGACCCAAAGAAAAGCTCAGACAAACTATTTGGAGCAATTTATATTCATTGCATTATCATTACAAAAAAATTAATCTGTATATTTGTCGTGCTTTTTTTTTGTTAAATAGTATATATAAAATTGTAATGTTTATTTATTTATTTGTCATAAAACATGCTTTGAAAACGTGTTACATGAGAAAAATCCATTAACCGTGCAGAGGAGAGAGAAACATTGGCGTATTATTTTTTTCTTCAAACAATATTTTGACCAGCTGCATCACTTTAGCGAAACACTATTGCATTTTGTAACAATTTATATTACATGAAAGGGCAGAGTAAAAGAAAAAAAACACATTTATTAATACAATTAATCGTACCAAACTGTATTAAAATTGACGATCCACCAGAAAACCCCCACATTACCTTGTGCTTTAAACATACACAACTTTCACGTCCATCCTGTGTCTGGTCGCAGAAGATTGTCCATTTTTTTTTCATCCTCTTCTTCTCAAAGATGCTTTGCAACTAATTTATTCTAATAAGTGTTTGGGGAACTTAAACTCGGGCACTCGGTGTCATAACGCCGTCTGCGCAAAACAGGTAAAATTCTCGGTGGATTCGAAATAATTTTCTGCACATTGTCGTAACCATCATTCCACACGCATCTGGAGCTTAACCTCAGTGGGTCCCCTCCCCCCCCACCGAGTCCCCAAGCGATAAGCATGGCTAATGAGTCATCTCCAGCACCTGAGGACTGTGCTGTGGTGGTTACCTCCGATGCCATATCCTGCCACCAGGCGTGTATCCATTATGAATATTATAATTTGAAAGGAGAGATGTGAAGAAAAATATCGTAGCTAATATTATAGTTTCCTCCACATTGTAAACACACACTTTCCCTCCCCTCCCTCCTGTATTTTGAAGCAAAGAACAAGTTGGGGATGAGACTGAGCATCCACTCGCTGTGCGAATATGTGAAAATGTGGGGATCGGTGGCGCCTGTGGTTAGCACACTGCACTACTGAACCTGGCGACCAAAGTTCGATTCCCGCTCACAACCAACACCAGTGACGATTATCTGAATTGGTCGCGAGCCTCCCTTAGGTCGACTTAGCCTCACATTAGTACCTGGTGCTCTATATAAATATTACCACTATTGAGATAAAGGTGGCCAGGCATGGTGCTGGTCACCCACCCCCTCGTGTGCCTTGAGATGAGAGGACTAATATTATCTACACATTCCATGTTATTGTCAACTCATGGACACACGACAGCATGGCCCGATTTAAAAAAATATTTTTAATGAAACATAGATGTACATAGTGTTCATCTACGAATCTTCTGCATTTCAATCAAAATTATTGTAAATCATTGCATGCTGCATGCACATGATGATTGCTAAACATGCCCCACATGACACGGATAATCATGTGTGTGTAGAGACAGCCCTGTTCATTTGAATATGCGTCGTCTACATCTTGCGAGACGAGTTTAACAATCATCGGGCATGTGTAACATGTAACGATGCAACATTGTTTTAAGCCATCGAAGACTATATAAACCATGGAAAAGCATGAAGTATAGGACTGCGGTTGAGAAGAGTCATGCACCGCGTCAGCTTCATTGCTTGACTGATGGCGAGACGTTAACTAGCTCGCCTGGTGTACAGGAGGTTGTGGGTTCGACCCCGACCCTGACGCCTGCATGTTTGGAGTTTTGCATGTTCCCCAGGTCCTCCGGTTTTCTCTCCCCACATTTAGAATCAACATAACACGAGTAATTTCTCCACGTTATAAGCCACTTCATGGAGCTATTATTTGTGGCCACGTCGCTTCTGAAAAAAAGAGCTCTATAGCTCAGTGGGCCCTTACCTGGTAAAATAAAAATAGTAAATAGTAGTATATTGACGGGAGTTTAACACAAACGCTGAAGTGGAGTAATGGTGAGCACACTGGACTGGGGATCTAGAGATCACCAGTTCAATATCAATTTCTCGGCATGGCAGTTGAAACAATGGTGCGAGGCTCTGAAATCCCCTCCAACTCTGTCCATCCAGCGTTACGAACTGGTACGTCACAATTAGCCGATCAGCAGGTTCACGTATCGTGGGGCTGTGTGGAAGAGTAGCCCAAGTAGTGTAGTTAAGAGTATGCGAAATTACCTTTTGAGGGGCTCACTAGAACTCCCTTGAGTGCAGGCCCTTCTGCCAGCGGTGGCGTGAGCGAGACATTGCAGGGCTGCGCCTTCGCCTTCACCTTTGGCAACACAAAAAGCCAACGTGGTTTTGTTGAACTCCATCCCACGGAGCCGTGGACCAGCTCACAAACAGCTGACTAAGGAGAAGCTGATAGCAAGAAAAATGGAAAAATGTTAAGGGAGGAAGGGGAGAGCTCACATTCCTGGTGCCCCCACACACACACAACCCACGGCTATGGCGAAAACTGCAGTTTTGCCGCAGTCATTGATTTCTCTGAGCCTTCAGAGACAAGCAGCCAAAGATGAACGCAACAACAACAAAAAAAAACCCCATCCGGGCTGTTTGTGTGAATGTGTGGGCAACACTCTCATCCCCCCCACTGTAGGGCATTATTTAATTATTTATTTACGTTCTTCTCAGCTGCCACTTTCGCTGAGCAACTCGTCCACCGCCGTGGGTCGCCGTTAGCCGAGGCGAATATTTGATAACGCAACCTTTGACTTAATATTTGTTCACACCAATGGGTGTGAAAATAAAATGGGTAAGCGAAGGAAGAATATGTTTCGGATTAATTAAATGGGGGAGGTGGGGGGGGGTCACAATACATCTGGACCAGCATGTGCATTGTCAATTTTGTAGATACGCAACGCACAGGCGATTATACACAACACCTGATAGGAAGGCCTCTGGGCGAGAATGAGTAAAGTGCGGGATTTAAACGGAATGGAGAGCTGCGTGCGTGGAAACATCGCACCGAGACAAGAGGGGAATGCACGGATCGGACAA